CAATCTTGGTTGGCATATAGTTTCATTATGTAGATTGGAATTTAGTGATTCATGCTACTGAAGTTTCATTGAGTGATTTTGGAGCTCTATATCTTTCTGCTAGAAAATACTATAGAAATGTCAGAATTTATCAAATAGTGAACTACGAATGGCTTGAACATGTCTTATGGTACGTAGGAAGTCTAACACAGAGGTTAGATGCATCCAAGAAATATGTAAAAAGGTTACTATGTTATTGAACTATTGGATTGGTTTTAGTCATCATGACTCGTAAATAGGGCATGATAGATGAACAAGTATTTTTGACGTCACGTGTTGACCTTGGATGTATTTTGGTATGGGGTATGAATGGGTCACGATCCGAGTCGTCTGTTCACTTCCCAAAGTGAGATTGGTTTGCTTTCCCACATTATTGGGCTTGCTATTTGTAGGAAGTCAAATTTACTATTTGGACCCAACTTACGTTGCTCGTAATTTTTTCATTATAGCTCTGTTTCGCAAACAGTTTTCGCTTACACTCTTATGGAATCAAGTTTTATTCGAAAGCACTAAGTATGACCCCAAAGGTCCATGGATTTTAATTGAACGTTTATGAAAATTCAAGTTTTTTTAACTAAGTAACTAAAACTCTAAATTAATGAAGCTAAAAAATTACAATAAAATTGTGCAAATACGAAATACTTAATTATATAGTGAAATTAGGGGATAAAATTTCACACATGATCCCCTTGTAACATAAGGTTTAACGGTTTTATTGATCTATGTAATCTTACGTTTTCTGATGAGCTCGACAACGAACTTGAAGTCTACTCATTATTTTGCGATTAGTAAAGTTTTATTGTAATCTTTTTAGATCAAATCTTGCAAGAACCATTTTAGGGTGCAAGAACCATTTTGGGGGTAGTTCTTTATGATATATATTTGTAATATTTTTTTAATAAATAAAATATCTTACTCTTTTTTTTTTTTTTTTTAAAGCCTCTCTTACTTTTATTGAAAATGACGATAAATAGGGTGGTGAGCATCACCATTTATAAACCACAACGGGATGGCTTTAATGGTTGGGGATGAATTCCAAGCCCGTTGTTCATATGTCACGTCCTAAATTCGACTTTGGACGCTAATAAACACGATGGTAGTTAAAAGAATTTGAAATGAAGCGTGAGTCTTCCCGATCCGTAAAAGACTAGACGGACATGGCCAAGTTACCAAAAAAAAAAAATCACCATTTACAATATTCCCGTTTGCTTGTTGCTTCTTCGGAATTAGTGTTGACATTAGATCCGGTCATTCTCTACTGAAGTGTAGAAGGCGCAAACACACTCTCTCTCTTCCTCTCAGTCTGACAGAGAACTGCTTTGCCATCCACAAGCCCTGCCTTTTACTTCCCCACTCAACATTTGACAACAACTGCGTGCTTCTCAGGTACTCTCCTCCTCTTCTTCCTCCGTAATTTCTCCAGTAAGTTTACTTTTAGTAATTAATCAGTAATTTCCCATTCTTGGTGCCTATGGGTGTTGAATAGCTCATTTTGCTCACAATTTACTATTTTGGAAATGGGTTTTGCTTGTGAATGAATAAGATTGGATTTGGGGGTGTTAAGTAATTTAAGTCTATCCCCTTTATTTGTTTATTCAAATCTTTGTGATTGATGGAGTGTTATAGGGTTTGCTTGTGGGTTTAATTCGTTATCCAGTTAGAATTTGAATGCTAACTTGCAAATTTGGTATCAATTTTCCACCAAGTTTCTGGTGATGGATTTAGTTTCTTTCAGTCAAGTTTGCTGCTTTTCTACGAGGAAGAAAATGGGTTAGTTTTTATTTTGAATTCCCCTTTTCGTTTGTGTTATGAAATTAGTGTTTTTGGTGTATGCATATTGTGTTTTGTGTCAAAGTGTTTCGAAAGGTAGATGAAATTCTAAAAATTGGTTCTGGCTTAATTACGCTTTCGGAATATAAATTGGGCACACAAGGGATCTGTTTCGACAATATTTGCTTTTATTTCGAGAATTGGCGTTAAATTTGTGTGAAATGAAGCCTAGATTGCGTTCTAGACTTTTAATTTGATTGATTTGCATAGGTTGAGTAATCTTTTTTAAGTTTATTAGTTTAAAGTTTGGATATAGGCAGGTTTCTGATCGATATTTGCAACATTTGAAAATAGGGAGAAGTAGAGATACGGGTAGGGTACTAGGGGGCATACGTCATGATCAAGCGGGCGCCAAGTAGGAACCAGAGAACCAAAGGAATCAAGGTGAAGCATGTTCTGCAGATCTGTCTGCTGCTTGGGGTGTGCTTTTGGTTAATCTATCAGGTCAAGCATTCCCATGATAAGAAAGTGGCATTAGATAAGAAAGATAAAAAAACCCCAACCAGAAGCCTGAGTGAAGGTGAGCTTCTGAAACTTGGGAGGAAGGACCTTCCGAAACTTGAAGTCCCTAAAAATGAGAAACAAGAGGAAGAGGATGAAGTTGAAGCAGCAGGAGAGGAAGACGAGAAACATCAAGTAGATGTGCATGAAGAAGAGGATTCAAAACATGAAGTAGAAGCACATGAAGAAGAGGATCAGAAACATGAAGGGGAAGAGCGAGAAGAAGAGGATCAGAAGCATGAAGTAGGAGAGCAAGAAGAAGAGGATCCAAAGGGTAAGCAAGAAGAAGAGGATCTGAAGCATGAGGCGGAAGAGCAAGAGGAGGAAGAAAACAAGAATGAAGAGACAGAGGATGAGGGAAGAGGAGCTGGAGATGATGAGATAGATGAAAATGAGCAAGAGGGAAATGAAGGGGAAGTGGAGCACGATGAGGATTTTGTAGATGAAGAGAAAGAAAGAGAAGATGATGGGAATGAGAAGGATGGTGAAAAGAATGACGGTGAAGAGAGAGAGGATCAAGAAGAACATGACAGTTCATCAGATGATCAAGATAATGAAACCCATGATAAGAATGCTCATGAAGCACGAGAGGAGAATTACAAAGGGGATGATGCTTCTAGTGCAGTGGCCCATGAAGTTACAAGCACTGAAACTGAGAAAGTAAGTTCGGAAAACTTAAATGAGAACCCAGAAACTACTGTGCTAGAAAAAGACAATTCAACAATGGTGGAAGATAGAATGGCTGAAAATGGTACTATTTTAAATGTAGGTGCAAGTGAAGAGAAGGCTAATGGTAATATGGCCAATCCTGCGGAGAGCTCACTTTTACATGAAAAAGTGAAAACACAATCTAATGATGAACCAGAAGCATGGAATAACTCAACAATGGTGAGTGCCGAAGCTAACGATAATTCAACAATAGTGAGTACAGAAGCAAGCAATAACCCTACAGAAACCAACCAGGCAAGTGGTTCATACCAGCAGAACGGTACAGAGATCGTATCTGAGTCAGCTCACTCTGAAAATGCGACGGTGGATGGTATGGGTACTGGAGAAAGCGTGACCATACTAACCATGGTTATGGAACAGGCTAACAACACAGCTTCTCAGAACAATGAATCTGACTCAAATTCAACAATATCCACTAAAATTGAGAATGCAGATGGGGCATTGGGAGAATCATCTTCCTTCTCTAATACGGTAGCGACTAACGTGTCAGAGAATATCTTAAGATCTGATGGAACAGCTGAAACAGAGGGTGGTTCTAGATCTTCATCGTTAAAGGAGGCCACAGATGCTGTTCAGAATGAAGAGTCCAATGGTACAAGTGAATCGGACAGGACAGATGAAGGTTCAGACTCCACAAATGGGACACAGGACGCAACTCAGCGTGATCCAATTGATTCTTCTGATTCCCATATCACCCAAGACAAGAAGGAGGATCGCACGGATCTAACTACACTGCCGGAGATAACAACCGAGGGGGATGAGAATGGAGAGGCTGCAGCAGAATGATGATCGTTGTCTTTGGTTTCTTCTGGCGCTTGATGTTTTCATGCTTGCCTTTGCAAAGCAACTAGGTTAGTTATTGTGAATTTTAATCTACGGCTAGAAAATCAATATAGCTGTTAAAACGTTGGCTAGTTTATATCACCCGCAGGTTTAATCTGTAAAACTAAATCCAACCGTCTGCTGTGCTGTTTATTTGCACCTTTGTCTTTCTTTTCATTTATTCTTTTTATTCGCTGTTCTTGTAAGTTGTAAGCTCCTGGGACAAAGCTTGTGATGCTTAAAAATGAAATGAATTGTTAATCCAAGTTGAAAATTTGGATGTCATTTGAATCGGAAAAAATACGTAAATTGTTTGCTAGAGTTTTGTCGAATGGTTTGTGTTTTGTTGATGATGCTGAAGAAAAATGTTTAATCTCTTAAGCAACTCTGTCGTGTTTGGTAATGCTAAAGCATTCTTCTGTTATTCCTTCTGTTAAGCCTTTGTTTTGGAAGCAGTTTCCTTTTACCAGACGCTGGTTTTTTCGCCGGACGCTATGAAACAAAAACTTCTTGGTCTGTTGTATACTTGGTGGTGCGTATTGGTGTATAATTAAGTTTTGGTTTGACGGCAATCACTTTTTTAGAGTGTCAATAATAGCTCCTTCAGTTTACTTTCGCTTCGGCTTATAAAATGATGATGTGGCATGTGAGCCTGCTGCACCAAATTCATGGGATGAGATTGCGAGTTGTATGGCAAAAGTATTCAACTCTAATGTCAATTTGTACGCCAATGTGCACCACCGATACATTTGACCAAGCAAAAAGCAAGCATGTCCTGTATCTTAGTCTGATTTCGACTGCAACATTTCTAAAGACGTCAAAATGTCCAAATAAGCAATAACAATAAAAATAAGCAGCAACAATATTTTTCAATTGAGAAGCTAAAGTTGATGTGGAATGACGTAAAATGACATCTCTCTATGTTGCCAATTTTGACAGCAGCGTCAAATATTTTTTTAATTAATTATTAAATACTTTTTACTAATTTTTTTATTGGTCTAAAGTCTTGCCTTTTAATCAATGTATAAACATTTTTGTACCTTTTAATTCATTTTCTTTCATTACCAATACAAAGAAAATAAGCCCGAAATTTAATTTTATGTTTAAAATTTAACATATCAGGTGGAAAGCAAAACTTTAAAAGATGTCCAAGTGCCATATAAGTTGCCAAATTAAATTTTATCTTTAAAATTTGACATCTCTGGAGATGATCTTTAGCTGTCAACGATGTCAGCTTTCTTACAAAGTCGAAACATGAGGCTGAAGACCTTTCTTGAAGCGCTTTAAGTCAAGCATGATTGAGAAGACACTTAATCAACTTATGCGGAGAAAGCCGAAGCAGGAATCAGACACTTCTTTCTGATTTCAACACAGGTTGCGCTTGATGTGCATTCCATTGCAGCAGCATCCAGATTATCGCCGTGCCTGATCAGGACCAGAACAAAATTCATCGGGCATTGCTTTGTAATTCAGTTCAACATGAAATAAGCAATCACAACTATACGATGTTACCATAAGACAGTAAATCAACCATCAACCAAGTCTTTCTGGGAAATCCAAACGCTATTTTTCACAAAATATCATAGCGTATAAATAGTTTGCCAACAGTTGAAAGGCGAATATAGACTTTATTTCCAATTGAAATATTCATCTGAGATAGCCTGTGAATGAGAACGCAAGATTCTAATCCTGCTCTCTCTTAAAAAGTGCTCGCAGATCAAGCTTTTTTTTTTTTTTTTTTTTTTTTTTTCCCTTCCAAACAACTTACTTCAGAGCAAGCGAGCATTGTCATACTGAGTATACATCCTGGAATTCTCTCTTCTTCTTTCTGATAAGAATCATCGTATACGCAAACACGTGTTTCTAGCCCCGACTAGTGCATATGAACCCCGAATTCTAGCATGATTTATGATGCTTAAAAGCAACCGTCACATTTGTATGCTTTAAAACATGTAAGCATTCACAAGTAACAGATGAGACCGTAGACTAGAGGTCTTTTGACACAAACACCAAAATTGCTGCACATCACTTCAAATCAGAACAACAAAGGATGCAGAGTAAAATGATGTAATATAGCCAAGTGAACTGATACCTGCAAAAAAGCTGACAGTAGAAAGATTTGCAATGGCCATCGTCTGATATGTTAGGTACTCGGACAGGAAATGACCGAGTGCATAGACAAACGACGGAAACGTAGATAGGTAGAGAGCCTTGTTTTCAAGGTTAACGGCGCAGAGATAGCAGAGTGTGCAAGTTAAAAGAGTCCAGACACCAAATGTCCTCCCATGAACTTCAGACACCAAATGTCCTCCCATGAACTAGTGAAAGCTAGTGATCTGAGGCATTTTAACATATCTAAAATCTCAAACAATCCGAACATCCACACAAAGCCTTCATCCCACGAGGACATATTCGAGGAAAAACCATCCTGCTACGCATTCTCATCGAAGGACACGACTCGCAACACAAACTTTGCTACTTATGGATGAAATGTGAGAACAATTTCAGCTCTTTTGGATCTCTCCATATCCACCAAAATCCATAAAATCAAATAGTTGAGAACTTCCTTAACATCCTCAAACAATTAAGAACACAAGATTTCCAAATGCATATCCAATCAAACTCCCACGTTAATCAACATTAGCTCTCTACTTACCAAACGCAGTGAAATATAACACAAAAAAATGACAAATGGGTTGTTTTTCTCAACCTTCTAAGTACCAAATGGTGGAAATTTGAGTAGTTTGAGTAGAAATTTCTTTGTCCCACATTGGCCATTCCCAAAAGATTTTATCACTTTATAAGGCTTTGTCCTTTCTAGAAAGTGATTGGAGTAATAGGCCTGGAGACTAAAATTGGGCTCACCCTTGGGGTTGGGCTTTGGGGTGTACTAATTAATTGACAATTAATTATATATTAATTAGTTGGATATAAGTCAACAATCTGTGATAATTTATATATGCTAATAAATAATAAATGCAATAGGAATTAACAGAATATAAACTAGAATACGAATTATAAAACAGACAACTCGAAGATCGAGGCTTGTGTACCGCAATGTCCTTGAAACAAAAATTGACTTCTGGCAAATTTTAATGTGGTTCTCTCAGAAAGGATGTTTATGATTGCAGGAGAAGATTTATGATTTTTTTTATGTCTTAAATGTCATGCAGATGGATGTATATATAATGTGATTATACCTGTTCGCAACAGGTTTGAGGAAGGGATGCATCTGTTGGGAGACATCTGCTTAAAAGGGTGTTTTTGTTTCTGCGTTTTCACACTTCAGACTTCATCTGAAAAGATGAGTTTGTTGGTAAAAATAATTAATTAATTAATTTAAATTCGAAATTAAAAATAATTAATTAATTCTGAAAATAAATAATTAATTTAATTATTAGAGCCCAAGAGGCTCAAGGCCCATCTTTTGACAATTAAATATATATTAATTATATATTAATTACCAATTAATTAGTACACCCCAAAGCCCAACCCCAAGGGTGAGCCCAATTTTAGTCTCCAGGTCTATTACTCCAATCACTTTCTATAAAGGACAAAGCCTTATAAAGTGATAAATCTTTTGGGAATGGCCAATGTGGGACAAAGAAATTTCTACTCAAACTACTCAAATTTCCAACAATACCCCACATTTGAGTTGAAATTTCATTCAAACTCCAACACCAAAGAGTAAACCCAAAAAAATTTCTCGGCGACCAAAGAGGAAAAGTATTGGAAGTGACATTTAAGTGAGAGAAAGAGAGAGAAGTGTACTGGGGGATTTGGAGAAGATGGCGAGGCGGAGGGCCCAAATGTGGAAGAACCCGAACCAAACGGAGACCAGCCGGAGCGAGCCCACCACCATCAGCCACCAGCTCAGCACCTTCATTGCGAGAGAGCTTCAAACCGCTCGTGGCAGTGCAAACAAAGCAAATGAATCAGAAACTATAGTGGCGGAGAAGAGTTGTTCTAGCATTAAGGAGTGAGTTTAACCGGTCATACTTGGTATTTGATTCAGTGGTATGGTTATTGCTTTGGGTAGAAGAGATTGTGTGTTCGATTCTCACACCCCCTTTTCATTCTTTTATTTTATAATACAATAAAAGTTTTTTTTATTTCTTATTTTTTTATCAAACAATAAATTAGCTATTAACTGAATTTAAACTTCTACTGTCACGCAAAGACTCAAATTTTTTATACTATTATAATAAAGAGTCACTTGCAAATAAAAATTTATTTAAAAGCAGGTTATTAGCGGGTGGATTGAATAATACGACTTTTTTTTTAATTAAAAAAAAGTTTAGAGGAAGATGGTAAAGGAAAGCAGTGAGCAGTTTAGGAGTGATTAATAATGCCACCTTTTTTACATCCATACATTAAATTAGATGGACTAAAATAGTTTACAAAAGATTTAATAATTGTGCACAATGTGGCTTTTTCCAAAAGTTATGGATAGTGCAAAGGGTTTTGCATCTCGAAGTCACTATATAAGTTTTAAGTTTGCATTTCTTTTTAAAATAAAAGAAAATAATGGACAATATTTTAACTATCGGAGAAATTTTTATATTTCATCTAAATCAGTATTTGATATTTTCTAAGGTTTCTGTGGAGCAAAAAATAATCAAGAAAATTATAGAGGCAACACTTATACTTTTGGGTGAAAGGGACAAAATTATCCTCGAGGCACGTCAGGATTCCCACGTACATGCAACTGACAATAACGGATCAAGGAAGAGTTCAAGGTGATCAAAATGGTATTTATTCAAAACATTCTCATCATTCCTCATCAAATCCTCACTCAAAATGTAACTCCCAATTTTCCTATTCAATTTGGGATTAATTGCCAAGTTAATTGCAAGATATTATTTCACATAATATCTTGCAATTACACTCATAATTTGGCCATATGTGGCTGGCCCCTATTCTTTAAATAGGGCCGGTCACTCCCCTATAAATAGCCATGTTTTCCCGCTAAAATGCTAGGTCATTCTCTACCTAAAAATTCCTAAACAATTTCTCTCTCAATTTCTAACTTTGGCATAGAAGATTCTTCGGCCAAAGCCCCTCCCCCCCCCCCCCCCAAAATTCATCAAGGGCGCGTGAGGCTTTTGGCCTTAATCTTAGGTGTTATTATTTTGCAGGTGCATTTTCGTCAAAGGAGAAGACAACGGAAATTTGCATCCACAAATTGGTGCTTTCATTGAGAGTTTGATTCACACACTCGAAGAAGACTTTCGCATTCAAAGTTTCTCGTTTCTCGTTCGTTCGTAAATTTTTCATACTTTCTTATTCCTAGAATTTTTTTTTAATTCTTTGAATAGATGTGAGGAAAAAATACAACGACACGAAATTCGGAAACCACAACGAACAGAACTTCCTACGTTCAAAGATCCGGATCAAATGATGGAGGATGAAACTTAACCCCACCACGACGATACAGGACATGCTTGCTTGCTTTTTGCTTGGTCAAATGTATGCTAGTGCACATTGGTGTTTACTTGTTGATGTGGTGTTGGGCGCACTGCTATCTTCTTGATCTTGTGACTGCGGCCGAGGAAGGAACACGCCTCGACCTTCGGGTTCTAGAGCCTGAAGACAAGGCTGCTACTTTCTTCAAAGTTCACAAATCGTCAACGTCGGGTTCAGTCTCGATAATTATATTCGTGAGAGTATAAGTACGCCGAACTGGTACCTGGCTGTACAGACACAAATACTCGAAAGAGATAAATGTCTTGATTGTAAATGTGGTTCGGCCGTCGGAATGCCGAATTCTAAAATGTACTTGCAAATATCCAATCATAAAATAAAACTTGGCTTTCAATATGCCAAGCCTAGTAACCTAGCAACACCTCACTTTGTTGAGAAGGCTGATGAGATGACCTCTACCAACAAGGACTCGGAAATCCTTGTTGATCGAGACCTGGATAAATAACCAGTCGGTCTCGAAGCAGTGATGTATATCCAAACTGAGGTGCTCCTCGGTCAGCTAATTCTACAGCTCCATGAGTTGTGCTCCGAATGCTATTTGAGCCAACTCGTCTGCGTCAATATTTCGAACTTGTGATATGTGCTTAAACGTAATGCCTACAAATGATTCGGCTAAATAGTTGGCAACCATATGATAGGGCGCTAGAGTACAACTCATGCAACGAAAAGTCCCATTGAGTTGGTTAATTACAAGTTCTGAATCACCGAGGATGGTACATTAAGGCCGATGACGAGGGCTTCATATTTGGCCTGATTGTTTGTATAGTCAAAATCCAACTTGAAAGAAAAATATCATCTGTAGTGATCAAGGGACTGGATAACGATTCCAATGCTAGCTGAGGTCGAGGTACTAGAGCTGTCAAAATACATCGTCCAATAATTATCACATGTTTCTACCATGCCAATTTCGACATCGTTGCCTTCAAAACCGTATTGAGAAGGATGTTAAGCTAAGAAATCGGTTAGCACCTATACTTTGATAGCTTTTTGGGGCACATATTGCAAACTAAATTCAGACAAAGCCATTGTCCATTTCTCAATTCGGCCTTTTACTATCGGCCGAGTAAGCAAATAGCAAATAACATTTGTCTGGGCAATGACCTAAGTAACAGAAGGGAGCATGTAATGCCTGAGTTTAGACGCATCGAAGAACAAAGCCAAACAGAGTTTCTCGATGGCTAAATAATTTATCTCAGCTGAGTTAAGATTCAAATGGCCTGCTCCTGCCCAGTGTCATTGTCTTGCGCAAGAAGACAACCAATGGATTCCTCGGCAGCCGAGATATACAACTTAAGAGGTTTACCGCGTCTAGGTGGCACGAGGACATGTGGGGTAGTAAGGGAGAACTTATTTGCGTGAAAGCATCTTAATGTTCTTTGCGCCATTCAAATTTGTCAGAATCCTTAAGTTTCAAAAGCGTGGAAAAAACCTTCATTTTCCCCACCGAGTTAAAAATGAAATGGTGGAGGAAATTGATTTTGCCGAGTAAGGATTAAAATTGCTTCTTGGTTGTCAAGGGTGGAGCATCAATGATAACTCAAGCTTTATTTTCATCTACCTCGATGCCATGTACAAGGAAACACAAGAAGTTGCATGTTGATATACCAAGTGCGCATTTGGTAGGGTTCATTTTAAAATTATGTTGGTGCATACGAAGGAAAGTTTGCGGAAGATCATCTAAATGTGTTCTGTAGTGCTTCGATTTGACCATAACATGATCGATGTATACCTAAACGACTATGTCAATCAGGTCATGAAAAATGGTATTCATAACTCGTTAATATGTGGCACCGGCATTTTTAAGTCTGAAAGCCATGACGACCCATTTGTAGGTCTCGATTGCCTTAGGGCAACAAAAAATAGTTTTGTAGACATCAACCTCAGTAATGAAAATTTGGTTGTAACCAGCATGGCCATCCATGAAAGATAACATCTTGTGGTTTACTGCGGTGTCGATTAACAAGTCCAAAATTGGCATTGTATATTCGTCTTTAGGGGTTGCCAAGTTCAAATTATGAAAATCAATGCAAATTCGTAAAGCACCACTTTTCTTTAAAACTGGGACAATATTCGCCAACCATTCGACGTATCGAGCTGTATGAATAAAATAGATTTTTAAAAGTCGAACGAGTTCATCTTTTATGCCGAGCTAAACTTCGGTCGAGAATCGTCGGGGATGGGGGTTAGCGGAAAGGTTTACAACTAACCTTGATGCGTAATTCATGCTCGATGAGTGTTCGATCCAGGCCAGGCATTTCATGGTAACTCTAAGCGAAACAGTCTTTAAATTCTTCGAGAAGTTTACAAAGCTCAGGTTTCATAAGTTGGAGCAACAAAGAACTAATAAATAAAGGTTGAGGGTCATCGGTTGTTCCAACGTTTATTTCGTCTAATGGATCTTTGAATTGGGGCCGACTGCCTTTAAGCTTGGCTGGGGCAGCTTGGACTTTATCAAATGACAGGATTGGACCGTTGTCTCTTACGGCGAGGAACTCTACTAAGTTCATGCCAGAATTCGGTTGCTTGGAAATAGTCCAATGGGCCAACAGGCATTCCATGATAGATGAAATCGCGGCCCGACGTCTATCCTGTTTGGTATCAGGCATCAGGATTGTCAATTAGGTTAGCCAACCTGAGCCTCGCTGAATACTGCTGAACAGTCTCGGCTTTAACCTCGATGTCTTTCTAAATTATGATCCGAGTCGACCGTCATTCTTTGTTGAAACCTTGCAGGGTGATGTAGCCGACTTGATCATCATAAAAGCGAGCTTGATTCATATTAGCTTCGAACGATTGATTGTCAGCCAAATGAACTACAATCGATTTTTCGTCCCAGAAGATGAGAACTTGATATAATGATGAGGGGATACAACTAGTTTGGTGGATCTAGTCACAAGCAAGTAATGCATTATACTCGGTCTTTGAATCGACTCTAAAAAAATGTGATCATGTGATTTTGACCCACGATATTCACCTATAAAGGAAGCACTCCCTTAGTCTAATATTTATCGTCGAAAGAGCTGCTCATGGTTACCCCTAATGGAATGAGTTCATTTTTTGAGCGATATAATGCTTTCATGAAAGAAATGGGAAACGGGTATCCTTCAATATGGGCCGTGAGATACAACGGCTTCAAGGGATGAAGATTAACAGATGAAGAACGGGGAACAGTTCGGCGAGAGCTGCTTTAAATTTCTCCTCTTTGCTTATTTGCTTAGTTTCTTTGATGACCATAGAATCAACTTGCGTGGCCCCTTTGGCAATCACGTCATCGTCCAAGAAATTTGGTTAGGATGTGGTTAGTTAGAATTATGTTGGTAAGACATGGACCATGTTAATTTCCATGTTGTCGAGGACTGAAGGGCCCATCAGCTCATGATCTTCGTCATTTGGATTTTTGGGTGAGATGTCTTATTCATGGGCATTACTCGCTTGGCCATCTTCAGTTACAGCGAAAACACGTTCATGCGGCATGTTTGTCGGAGCTGTTTTGTTTTGAATTTTGACCACTGGCTTTCTCGGTGTTAGGACTTGGTTTTGC